GGCAGGTACAGATATTTTTGGACCAGCACCAAACTTGCAATTTCCATGGGCAAGTAAACCTTGAAAAGTGTTTGAAGGGCGCTTCTAGTTATCTTTTCAGAGCAGCCATCCGGGCCCTTTCAATCAGGACTATGAAATCCAAGCTGGTTGGATACTGCTTTGGCACGCTACAAATTTTGGCACACACTGCCTTATTGGGGCTCGAACCATTCTGTGGTCTCAATTGGTCCTCTTTGGTCGCCATAATTACTGAGTGGGTACACTCTGAACGCATTAAATAAGTACTGGGGAGCGGTGGGAGACCTTAGACAGGCCAGGCTCTTCGGTTACGTTTTCAACAGAAATTATGGCCCCTATTATGAGTTGCATTCGATTTTCGACTGTGGTCGAAAGTGCTGAGCGAACGAATTTTCATTTGGTATTATGGCGCTCATTCGATGAAGAATAGCGCTATTGTGAATTTCGCTCGTTTAGGTTGTTCACAATAGTATATTTTTCACCGCTGAGAAGCTTTGTTTACAAATCGAGCAAACTAAATAGTGTGCTTATACATATTTATGCAAATTTGTTCTAATTAAAATGAAGTAAAAAAGAAAGCAATTTTATAAAAACGTGGTAAAATGAGTACAACGAGTTGTGGTTCAACGATTCGTCAGAGGATGAGAGCTTAGTAAACTGGCCAGGAGTAGCAAATGCTCTCTTAAACATTTAAGTTTATTAGTCTTTCGAATATATTTTGATATAAAATATATTTAAGAAATTTGTCTACAGATTCATTAAAAAGTTCCGACCATCTAAAGAGGCGTTTGTGAGCCAAATCTATTTAAAATATTTTAAAACTATCAACAGCGCTACGATTTTGTTCTCAGAGATCGTGCCAACAGAGCATTGGGATTTTCTTTCACAAGTAAAACCAGCCTTTCGAGCTTGTGTTTAGTATTCACGATGTTAGAACTGCATGAAATTAATACAAATTGTTTAAAATTAGTGTCTAGCCGCCAAAATGTAAGAAAACATATACAAAATCATACATTTTTCACAATTTTCTAACACTTCGCTACACCATCGAAAGCAAAATTCTGTTCGACAGAAAATTCGATACTCAACGAAAATTTCGACACGCTTGCATAGCTCATAATACGAATTTCACTTTCGATCTTCGATCTTCGATAGCCAGCGAAGATCGAAAATCGAATGCAGCTCATAATAAGGGCCTATATCATTTTCGAACATAGAAATGACATCAGGCTACTTTCTGCGCACCTGTCTCGGGTGTGATCACATAGTCAGAATGCTGGCTCTGCCTTGAAGGTGATGAAACTTCAGAGCATATTCTCTGAAGTTATCCGGAGAAAGGCTGATCCAATTAAAAGCTTCAAATGGTTGAACTCTTTATTATAAAGAATGCGCCCACCAAGGCCCTTTTAGGATTTGTTAGAGAAGCCCAAGGCATCTTTGCCACACTGGATTAGGGACTCTCACTTTAAGAGACACACACAAATCTTTCACCCACGAATTAACTAACTAACACACTCTTTCTTCACTGAGCTTATTTGCTAAATAAATGGCTGGTGAACCCTAAGGTCTACAACATCTGAGGCCTGAGCGATTTGGCGCTCTAGCTTTTTATTTCATACGGCTGTGATATGCTTGAAATTCTCAACCTGCATATGAAATAATTAGCTGAAGAAGTTAGCGCAGCTAAATCTGCTCGGAAGCACATTTCATTCCACTTGAAACAGGGCCATCGTTTGATTCATCCGAGTGAGTTTTATATACATATGTATGCATGAAAATGAATGAAATGCAAATTTAAAATTTATGTATATGCAACACCAACCTCCTTTATTATAGATATACGTGTACTTAACACACGTCTCGCCCGGAACCATTGGACAACCAAATGCATTTGGGTTTTTAATGTTAGTACGCCACAAGTCCGCCGTATCTGGTATGGCATCATTATCTAAATTTGAAATCGTTTTTTGTTTAAAAAAGTAACAACACATTTTTCTAAGTTATTACCCACCCGTAGCCACTAATGGGCGCCTACATGGCACATTTTTGAAATCTTCGCGTAAATGTTCACACGTCAAACCGGCAATATGGCGCTTATCTTGATATGGACCAATCCATGTGAAGCGAAAACAATATGGATCTGTGAATGATATGTAAGTGGAGCTTAGTCTAAGCTGAGCGCTGTTGCTAACTAGGATAAGCTTACACTCAACTTGTAGATCAGCGTGACACACGCAAGCGAAAATGGCATACCAAAATGCTAGCACTATGCGCGGCGACATTACACTCGATCAGCCTATGGAGTACTAATAACTAATTGTGTAATTGCTAGCTAATGGCCGGGTGACATTCAAGACTCCTCTTGCTCTCCTACCGCCGCTGTGTGCATAGTTCTCATGGCGTTCTTGAAGAATTGCTAATTGTTGATATGCCATACGATAATTGTCTCATTGTCGATCGATTCATGATTGATTTTTATCTTATCAAAAGCGTGCTGATGTTGCACCAGCAGTTGGTGGACCTTTTTTTTGCTCATGTTTACTTTTTTTTATGTTTACTGTTTGGGGATTTCTTGACTAGGAGCCGCCTCTGTTGCTGGCTGACTTTCATGGTCAATGTGTGCCGGTTATTGATGCGCTTTACAAACATATACATACATATATGTATTCTCGAAAATATTATGTATATTTATGTATGTACATACGAGTATATTACTGATGTTAAGTGCTCTGCATGTTGCGGGGTTCTACGCAGAACTCTAGCGGAGGCAATGGGCGTCTTACTCATTATTCTGCCAATCGAATTTGTTGGAAAATAATCAGCGGGGCGCGCCGCCTAGAGGCTAAGGGAACTACCAGGCTGGAGAGACAAACAGGATGGCCACACCGCAATCTTAAAGAAAGGAAATATGCCGCACGCGGATTAGCGTTCACCAAGTCTGAACTTTACAAAGAGGTATAGGGTTTCCAGTCCAGAGAAAACAATCTGGTCAGGAGGTGCTGCTGATGAAAAGGGATGACTGCACCTCTACACCGATGGCTCAAGCTAGACGGTAAGGTAGGATTGAGCTTATCTCTGCCCGGCCGGGGCTGGAAATATTTTTTCGCTTACCCAACCACTGCAGTGTCTTTCAAACTGAAGTCGCTGTCATAAACTAGGCGATTGAACACTTACGAACAGGAGAAGTCATACTTATGTAAGAATAAATTTACCTACTCGAACAGTCAGGCGGCACTTAAAGCGCTTAACTCGGTCACATGTAGTTCAAGAACAGTAGCGTGCTGCCGTAGATCTCTGAACGAGATGGCTGAGCAGTACGATTTTCATATCCGGCAATGAAAGTCCCACAAGGGTTAAAGCATGCCGCTCGCTACCTGCAAGCTCATTCTACCTCTTAAAAAAGCAAGTTACAGGTGCGATAGTCTCACAACTTGCATCAATACAAAACTTATGTGGCCAAAATGAAACGAGAAGCGGTCGAAAGATCTCCTCATGCTGAGCCACAATCATGGGCTCCACTAACAGCCCATGTAGCCAATGGACGGCACACGGAGAGGCAAGTCGTTCCCTACCACAACTTCTGCAGAAGCTGCAGCGATGAAGCCAGAAACTTTACAGCACCCACTATACGAATGTCCCGCATTTTGTGAAACAAGACGAACGTTCTTGGGCTCAACTAGGAGTGTTCTAACATCCCGTATGGTATCACAATGTGCCCAAAATGTTAAGGGCGCCTAGGTGTGCTAGTGGGATTACTGACAGCCACCTTATCTAACCAGCTAAGTGTTTAGCTACATAAGGTAGTGTGGGGAAGGTAGTAGAAGGTTGGAGAAATGTCTCCTTTAATGCGTTTGCTCGAGCTTAAGGACTAGCCTTTGGAGCTGTTGTAGGCGTAATTTTAATTCCTGATGGACCATCCGCGTCAATATAGTCCCCACCACTGGACAGTATAGTGAGCAGTACATTTGAAGAATTACCAATGCCTGTCGACGGGCGTCAGATATTTGAGTTCTGCATTGGTTTCATACATTTGGGGTGACAAAAAAGACCAAAAGTGCAACCGTAAGCCAGAAGAAAGCTGCGTATATATAAATTATCTTCAAATCGAAGGTTGTACGTCGAGTAGAGTGATGCATCTTGGTTTGTACCCAAACGACGCGTGGTTTAACATACACAGCCTAAAACCATGGGCGTCCAATTAGTTGCGTGGTCGACATTCCTAATTAATTTTTCGAGATCAAACCTTGAAGCTTGGAAGAATTGAATGGGGTTGTTGTTTAGTTATTGCAATAGCATACAAATGCCCTAAATAGCTTATGTGGAATGATGATGGACTGACAGTTCTTGACCAGATGTGAATCTGGGTCGTCCCGGGTACGTAGATCCGGACTGTCTAGGCCACCGGAGTGAGTTTCTCTGATCAACTACGCTGCCAATTGTTCGATTTAGGCGCTAGCAATGAAATTGATGAACTGTATTCCAAGGCAAATAGCTATCTCGCCATTTTTCTCGTTTTTTCACTTCACGGAATCCTACCTGCTACTCAATGAAATCGATTTTTACCACCTGAACGATGAGGCCATGCTGCAATTTGGCATCTACTTTGATGACACTCCAATTACGATGGCACCAAACCACAATTTTCAATAAAGACAAAATAACGTAACCAAGGACTAGTAGGATGCAGTGGCGTGAAGCTACAGACTTGATAAAACACTGCATAGCAACGGAATGCCTTCTTATGTCGCTTGAGAAGCAGCAAGATTTAAGGCTTACCAAGCAACTCCCGATCGGGTAACACGTCAGAAGGCATCTATATGAACTCACGTCTCACATACAGATAATGCCTTTGATGGGCTTTCATATGGATCCTATTTCCAACTTCCAGACTTTTCTCCTGTGATTGTTGTAATAGGAGCTCAACCACCACCCATCGAAGATGAAAAGCTTCCGTTACCGTGAAAGACCAGACTAATAGAGTATTATAGCGGACTGAATTCGTGCCTACCCAGACTCGACCGCGACATACCCAACACGTGTCCGGCTTGTGACGCTTCCCTATACGACGTCAACCAGCTCTTCACTTGCCTCCTCAAATCCACATAGCTAACATCCCTCTCCCTATGATCTGAACCCCTTTCTTGGGGCTATCGTCGCAAGCTGAACACCACAGCAAATGAAAAATTGCATTTATTGCGTTATGAATTTCTTTCTCATCCAGCATATTTCCTAGGCTCAATTCCCTTCCAATATTTCCTGTTTTCAAACAAAAAAAAGCCTCGCCAGTATGAAGTTTAAACATTTTAGAAACTAAAAATTTTTTGGCGAATGAAAATGTTTTTCCTCTAAGTCTTCGCGGGATTACTCACCTTCCCTCATAGGTGTTCCTGAGTAGACACTAAACGCTATTGCACTACTTGTGGTATTCAATTTTGTTTGAGTTTTTCGCCTCGCTGTGTTCGTTTTACATAAATATGTAAGTCAGTTGTTACTGATTTACAGTAGGGTGGTCCTTAAAAATATCAATATCATAGCGTACTCCTTTCCTTTCCACGAAAATTAAAAAATTTAAAAACAAATTTTAGGGGTCGCTACCAGGTTTGAAAAATTGATTTTTTTTTATCACAATAATTCGACAAAATTGTGTCTTTAACCAGGTAAAACTCGGCGAGTTTATTGCTTTATATAAATTAATTTCAATAAAATTTCAAATTTATCAGATTTAATTTAAAAAAATTGGCCATCAAAAATAAAAAATAAAGGGGCGTCCCATAAAAAATTTAGATGTTCATATTTTAAGGACCATCCTAATGTACCTCCATATGTATGATACACACCATAAATCTATTTGTGATTTCACTTGCCAGTTCATGAAATTAATCGCCTGTGATGTTTTATTGCAACAATGCCAATATTTTATTGGTAAGTTGCACTTTTTCTGCGTCGGCCAGCAACATTGCCGTTTTTGGTGTTTTTTTTTCTTTCTTTTTATTTACTTTTATTAAAATTCACTTCTTTTTACTTATTTCAGCACGAATTTTTTTGCTTACCGTTTGGGTTATCATCGATGCCTTGTTTTATTTGCTTTGCTTTACAGTTTTTGTGTATTCCGCGAATAACGGAAATATTTGCATAGCTTCACTGTTCGCCATTATTTATGGTGTTGGAATGATGGGATTGGTCACAAAGGATGATGCAGACAGAGTGCAGGGGTGACGCAGATCATGGATCAATAATAAAACCTCTCCTCAATTATTGTCCAACAATTTTCTTCATAATGAATGATAGCCAAATTTATAAATTGCAGAACCAACAGAACCAAGCAATGAGATTCCTTCTTCGAAAACGATATGACACGCCCATTAGAGACATGTTATCAGCCCTTGGTTGGCTAAGTGTGAAACAACAGCACTTTTATTATACGATGAAATTTGTTAAAAACATTATTGAAGATAATTTACCAGAATACCTAAAGATTAACTTAAAGTATGGCAGCAATGTACACAATAAAGATACACGTAAGAAAAATGACTTCAATTTACCCATGTTAAAAAGCGAATCTGATAAATGTAATCTTTATTACAAGGGTCTTAAAAGTTATAATGAATTACCAAATACTGTCAAGCAATTTAAAAACATCAATGAGTTTAAAAGAAAGTTGTTTGAATTTTGTAAATCTATCCCAATATAATGTAATGTATTACTTTATATCTGTTTTCCGTTTACTATTGTTCCGTAATTTCAACTTGTAATTGCCATGTATGAATGCCCTTCCAAATGATTTTATTAGGCTTAAGCAATGTAATATTAAATAACTAGGTTAAGTCTACATATATTGTAATGAATTAGGCTCAAGAGAGCTGTAATAAATAAATAATAATAATAATAATAATAATAATAATAATAATAATCATCAATTATATAAATAGGCAATCATGTTTCCTTTACACCCCTTTTACGGCTAAACTGTACTTCTAAGGTATAAACAATTATATATCATTAGAAAGGTATTTTGATGCTGATGTGCAGGCAATTTTTAAAATTTCAAATCAGTTTAAAATAGAGCGAAAAAATCAATTCAAAAGTCACACCAATACCAATGCACACATGTACATGGTTGGGGCGGAAATGTCCCCTAAATGTATGCTTTAATATTGCTAAGCAGCAGTTCAGGAATAAAATGTATGTATGTATGTACATGAATAGATTAGACTCAAACAAGGAAGAAGGTAAAGTTGAGTATGGAGAAGAAGAAAGTGATAAATACAGAAATTAAAATAAAAGTAAAGAAACCTAGATATAAAGACAAAGAGGAAGGAAAATTTAAATACCTAACCTAATAACAATGGTGGGGATGAATATGTAAATGAAGAAAAGAATGGACATATTTAGATCAGGATAAAGGAAAAGATAAAGAAG